GCGATTAGTTGTGTTAGGGTGACAGTTCACCCTGGGCGTGGAGCTGCAGCTCGCGGCCCGGAGGCGACACCAAGCACAAGAAAGGCGAGCTCACGCTGGCGGCGTCCAGCACCAGGTTCGTCACGAAGGCCGCTGGCGCGACCTGGACTGACAAGCCGACATCGGCGGTCGACCTGGGGGCCGTCACGCTGCAGCGTGATGGCATGCCACCATCGGCATTCAACGTTGCCATCTTGCCGCACTTCGCTGCGGGCGAGAAGGCGAAGAAGCCGCGGGTGGCGCCGCGTTGGCAGGACCCCCGTTCCTCCGACGACGGCAACATGAAGCGGGGCGCCGTCGAGGTGGTCTTGACGGACAACACTGGCACACACAAGCTGAACGCGCCGTGCATGGTGAACACCAAGGAGGTGAAGCCAGGCGCGACGACGACGACGACGACAACGGCGACGCGCGGTTGGCGTAGCCTCCCAGGCGACCAGCTCAAGCTGCATGTGCCGCCGCTGCGCAGAGGGGGCAGAAGCGCAAGGTGCTGTGATAGCTGCGCGGTATAGTCTGCCGACCGCGTGTCGGGGGACATTTCAGCCGACTGGGCGTCGGCTGACATATGAACCCATCGATGTCTGTCGAGGGCGTGTCGGCCGCGCGCGCCGATGATCAGTCGCGCGCGTCGGGTCGCTGCAGGCGCCCGATGGGCTGCAGCCCGCGCGGGGGAGGGCGGCGGATCGGATGAGGGGGGGGGGGGGGGGGGGGGGGGGGGGGCAGAGGAATGCGACAGTGTAGTATATGCGACGAGGATGACGATGTCGAGGAGATTGTTTTTTTATTCTGGCCGATAACGCTCGTTACCCGGGGGGGGGGGGGGGGGGCGGTCGTGCCCCCCGGGTAACGGTAACGCTTGGGCTGGGCGGGGTATGGCGAGGCAGGGGCGCTCTGCGATCGCCATAGTATGCGCGCGAGCAGCACTCTCTGCCTGAGAGCACCACAGTGGTTTGCGATTCGAGTACAAGCGCAAAGCCCGCCGCGTGGTCCCGGCACCACGCCCGCGCCCGCGCGCGCGACGACGATGATCGACGATGATCGACGAGCGACGAGGTCGACGACGACGACGACGACGTTTGCCGCCTGTTTCGGCCTCCGGAGGCCGTTTTCGAGCGCCGTCGACGACGACGACGACGACGACGACGACGACGACGACGACGACGACGACGACGACGTTTTTCGCCTTTCGGACTCCGGAGGCCGTTTTTCGGGCGCCGTTTTGAAGTTCGCGCCGAAGTTCGAACTTCGAACCTCGAGGATCGAAACCTCCTGGCCCTCGAGGGCCCTCGTCGTCGCCGCGGCTTGACGCGGCTCGGAAAACTTGCGCGTCTGAACCCCAGTCAGGGCCCAGCCCGACAACAAGACAACAGATAGCATCAGAGATCCTGTTATACTTATTTGCGCGGGAAGGCCCTGTGCACTGAATGCGCCAGAGGCCGTGCAAGCGCCTTGGCACACAAATACACACAAGAATTCCGAACACGTCAGAGGCTGGAGTAATAGTAACAGACACTGAAGCAGGCATGCTTTCTCGGAAGGCACCCTCCCGGGCCCGAATGGGCCCCCCTAGCAGCATTCAACCATGAACGCCCGCGCTGGGGTCGCCGCCGCGTCGATGCAATTCCGCGCCAGCCCCGCTATGTGGGGACCTCCAGGCTGCGAGCAAGTTGGATGACAAACTGTCTTTCCCCATCCTCCTCCTCCTCTCCTCCTCCTCCTCCTCCTCCTCCTCCTCCTCCTCCTCCTCCTCCTCCTCCTCCTCCTTATCCCCGCCATCGCGGTCTGTGATCACCGCGCCACGCCTGCGGTCAAGGCGCCATGCGTGTGAGCACCGGCGACCGCGGCGGCACACATGTGAGCGGGCGCTAGAGAACCACCAGCGTGCCTGCGAACGCCACAACGCGCGCGTATACAACAGCATGCCAAACCGTGTCGGCACCGAAAACGTTCGCGAGCAGCGCAACTCGTCCTCGAACACCCCGCACAAGCCTGCGTGTGCCATGGTAGCACACGAGAACCGCAGTGTACCTGTGAGCAGCACAGCATGCCTTCGGGCACCAGCATGTTAGGGGGGAAGGCCATAGAGCACGACGACGACGACGACGACGACGACGACGACGACGACGACGACGACGACGTTTGCCGCCTGTTTCGCCCTCCGGAGGCCGTTTTCGGGCGCCGTCGACGACGACGATGGCGACGACGACGACGACGACGACGACGACAACGTTTTTCGCCTTTTTCGGACTCCGGAGGCCGTTTTTCGGGCGCCGTCGACGACGACGACGACGACGACGACGACGACGACGACGACGACGACGACGACGACGACGACGGCAACGACGACGACGACGACGACGACGACGACGACGTTGTTTTTGCGCCTTTGTCGGACTCCGGAGGCCGTTTTTCGAGCGCCGTCGACGACGACGACGACGATTCGAGTACAAGCGCAAAGCCCGCAAGCACCAGCATCGCGCATGCGAGCGCCGCAATGGCCTGCGAGCGCCCACAGTGCGCCTGCGACCACCACACCACAGTGCGCATGCCTTCGGGCACCAGCATGTTGGAGGGGAAGACCGAGACCCCCCCCGCGTACGAGCGGTACCGTTACGGGGGGGGGGGGGGGGAGAGGCCCGGGTAACGAGCGTTACCCCCCAGAGGATAAAACAACAATCTCGAGAGAGATGACGGGAGGGGAAACGAGGGCGGTGAGTGACAGGGAGTATCATAACATGTCGGGCGTTAGCCAGAATTTGCTTTTCGCGAGGTAACTGACTGACGGGCGGGGGCGCAACCTATGGCATAACCAATAAGAGCCATAATGATCCAACTATATCATCGGCGGCAGAGGGCGCAGCCAGTGGCGAAACCATTGGGTGCAAATTATATCGTCGGCGACCGACTGCGCAATCTACTATGTGCCAGATATGTATTCGGCGGCCGAGGGCGCATCCAATGGCGCAACCAATTGGGACCAGCTATGTCATCGGTTGTCGAGGGCGCAACCTATAGCACAACCAGGAGATTTATAGTCATACCCTCGGCGGCCGAGCGTGCAACCTATGGCGCGACGCAGACGGGGCACACAATGGCTGGGCATCAAATTGCGCGCGGGATTCGCCCGACTTATGCCAGTCGTTTGGGCTGCAGCCCACGCGGCGAGCTGCCGTGTGATTTGGCGCATGCGCATCCGCCGCGTCGCCGCTTAGCCTTTGTGGTACAGGTGTGGCGGCGGTCTAGGGGTTATAAAGACCGCGGTGTGCACATGGCGATTGCGGTGATTCGGCAAGCGGTTGTGACCATCGACGGCGGATGCGCATGGCGCGTGTCGAATGAAGTGGTCGTCGACGACACTGCCTTTGGCGAGGTGGATGTCCATCGAAATGTCGGCACCCGTGCTGCCGCGCGCCCGCGTGCCCGTTCGGGGTCACATACATATATATATATAGCCCGCCTCGAGGATCCCGAGCGCCAGAGCTGGACCAGAACAAAGATCTACCGAGCCTCTCACGCGGGGCCTGAGGACTGAAGGGGCTCTGTCTCTTTTTTACTGTATGTGTCGAGCGCGAGCCAGGCTAGGGCAGTAGACACTGCCATGAGATGATTTCCCGGCGAGCAGCTGGGCGACGGAGCAGACTGCACAGAGGTCAGACCAGATAGAGAGTTCCCATGACAGGCGCGATGAGCAGCAAGTTATAGACGGGCCAAAAGGGCCAGGGCGGCACGTCGGTGGGTGCACTTTGAGCCCAATGCCAGCGGGGCAGGCACAGACGAATGCGGCGCTCTCTCTCCGCCCGGCTCCGCTTCGCGTTTCAAAACTGGACGGCCCGCCTCGAGGATCCCGAGCGCCAGAGCTGGACCAGAACAAAGATCTACAGAGCCTCTCACGCGGGGCCTGAGGACTGAAGGGGCTCTGTCTCTTTTTTACTGTATGTGTCGAGTGCGAGCCAGGCTAGGGCAGTAGACACTGCCATGAGATGATTTCCCGGCGAGCAGCTGGGCGACGGAGCAGACTGCACAGAGGTCAGACCAGATAGAGAGTTCCCGAACCCCTAAGGAAGCTCTGGCCGCCACTGACAGAATGGCAGAGGCGGCCGAAAAGTAAAAAGGCACTTCGATGCCGAAGCGAGAAAGCACGGAGACACGCTACTTGCTGATTAGGTTAGCCATCGCTTGCTGCGGCGCCTTGAGCACAGCGCGCTTGATTACATTTGCGAGAGCATTAGCAAGGACAGCTGGATATGCAGCCCCGAGCGCAGTGAACTTACATCCTGCAGGGCTCTGGCCGGACAGAATTACATGCTTGTTGGCAGTGCGTGAGCACAGCCCGCGTCTCCCCTGGCACACGCGGCATAAGGATTCAAGTGGGCCAGCATGCCATGAAACGATTCTCGTACGCTTCCGCCAAAGTGCACCATACTGGCACTGGTCTAGATCACAACTGCGTGCAGAAGGTAAGTGAACGAGCCGAGACAGAGAGCGGGCATACCACATCAAGGAGCTCGCTGGATTCTCCAGCATCACAGGAGTCCCTAGACGACTGCACAGTCTGATGATGCGGCACGTGAACGCAAAGGAAGCGCTGCCCTGCTGTAGGCGGGCTCTCTCGGAAGTGCTCAACTGATGGAATCCCATTGGGTGGTCGCGAGATCTCAGGGGCCTCCTGAGAGCCCGCGACCAGGTGGTGCAGGGCGTCCCTAGAAAAACAGCGGCGACTGCGTGGCTACAAAGCCATCCGACGATGGCCTCCTCGAAAGTGGCGTCGAGGTGGTCCTCGAGAGGCCCATGCCTGATGTCGAGTCCCAGACCCGAGAGGCCGAGTCGGCGCACCGCGGCGGTGAAGTGGCCTGAACCGCTGAAAAGCTCTACCACAACGCGCCTGCGACAGAGCGATCCCCGCTGCACAGCCTCCTTTAAACGCCGCCTCAGGTGCTGGCGGACGGCGTCGCCTGCAGCACTCACTGCGCCGCAGCTGCGGGCCTCCTCTGAGCCCGCCTGCCGCGCGCCGGGCCGCAGAGCTGCATTGCCCCCACTAGTTGGGAGGGCACCTGGGCGAGGCACCAGTTTCTGAGGAAGCCCATCTCCAGCAGCTCGCAGAAACGCCCTTCCACGAGGTGGCCGCGCGCGTGCACGACCTCCGCCCCGTCCTGAAGCTCGCGCAGAAGAGCCGTCTCCTTCGCGTGGCGCCGCATCGACGACATGACGGCCCAGCGGCCTTTGCGGCGCACCCGCTCCATCGATCGCCTCTGCGTCAAAAGGTCGTAGCTCACTCCGCCCTGCCTCATCCTGAACAAGTGGGGGCGCAAGTGGTTGATGCCCAGGGTCGTTGCCGCAAGAAAGAACATCAGGTTCCGCTGGCCGAGACTGAATCCCCACAGAAGCGTCGCGACAGGCCCCTTCAGGCGGAGCGCCACGAGGACCGGCACGAGGTACAGGTCGAGATCGAGAGGGATCGGCACGTCGAACGCCCCCGTCATCCCGCCCTGGCCGCGGTCTGCGGGGTGCAGCAGGAGGCCCCAGAACTGGAACGCGGCGCCCGCGCCGATGGACGGCTGCACGATGCGGCCGGGCGTCAGCCTCTGCGCCAGGTGGCGCGCGGTGAGGTACTCCGCCAGGATCGAGTCCAACTGGCCCAACGTGCTCCAGTCCAGGTGGCGGTCCGCACAGTAGCTCACGAACGTGTGTTGCGGCTGCCGGTAGAAGGCTTCTGTGTTCAGTCTCACCGCCTGCTGCTCCAGCAGGCTCATGGCCAGCGTGCCGGTGCTCCCGCCCGTGGCTTTGGCAGCCAGGATCGCGCGGTGCCTCGTCAAGGCCGAAGAGGTGCGCGATCCCTGTCGCGGCATCGCCTCCGCCCTCGTGATCAGCAAGAGCAGGACAGAGAGTGCGACGCAGCCGCCGACCAGCCGTCCGAGCATCACTAAGATGACGGTGGCCGCTGAACCAACCCAGCTTCCCACGGCTGAGCGAGTCTGATGGGTTCCTTTCTGAAGCGATCCAGCGTGCACAAAGCCTCGAGCCCGTGGCTAACGACAGACAGCACAACTGGTTGAGACATGACCTCAAGAAACTCGAGCGGGCTCTCCCCTTCGTACAAGAAAGAGCCAAGAGCAGGTTGTCGACTAAAGCCACCATACGCTTGCCGTGACTGCCCAAGTTACGAAGAAGGTGCCGATAAGACGTGACTAAGGCCCCGCCCTCAAGGTAAAGAATATTGGCCCCCAGAGACACCGACTGTGCACTGACGCTCTTCCAAGCTTCTTTGCGTGTAATGTGCCCAGGTACCTCGTCGAGCTCCCAAGGGTCCATGCTGAACCTCAGGGCCTCGGTCATGTTGTGCTCCACAGGGATGCCCAAGCCCTCACCGTGGACGCCCAAGGTGCAGGCCTCCTGGATGTCCTCTGGATTCTTCAACGCGTGACCCCCCAAGCTGCCCAGGTGCTCCTCAGAGTGCCCCCCGTTACCGCTGGATCTTGGCATGAGAGGTGGAGAGAGAGAGAGGGCGGATTTTGTCTGTTTTCGCCTGTCCCCTCATCAACCACCAGTTCTCCTGCCTTGAACGACCGCAGGCGAGCCTGGTGCCCGCCCTCGACCTTGTAGCGCCACCGCTCCGAGCACCGCCCCACTGCAGCACAAGTAGCAGCAGGCGCCCGCCGTCGCATGACGCCGAGGCCAAAGGGAGAGGCGTCGCTGGCCGTCATCACGGTATGCCACTCTGCAGTCAGGTCGCAGGTCAAAATCGGGAGCAGGTCCCTAATGATAATGAGCTCCTTGATCATTGACGGCCAGAGCTTGCCGTGCCTCGGGCCGAAGGCGCCGACGTAGCCATAGGAGCTGTGCAGCACGGCGAGCACCTCTCTGCGGATCATCGACGTCCACGTGACCAAGCACCGCACGGATCATGTGGCCGGAGCACCATCCACGCCTCAACAAACTGGATATCGCAAAATGGAGTCTCCAAACGTTCCGAGGCTTGATGCGAAGATATCTTCCACCGCGGAGGCTGAGGCCAAGGAAGTCGGCATCCAGAGCAGCGTTCTCGATCTCGTGCACTGGAAGTCCGCGCCTCCTGAAGGTGCCCACCAGCCTATTCATAGTCTCATCCACCAAGGACTTGCAGCCGCCGAAGACGAGGATGTTATCGACGTAGGCGGCCACCCCCACGGCATTCTTCTCAACCACGTTAACCCCAGGATTGCCATCCTGAGCGGTCTGATCCAGAGAGTGGCCGTCGTCCGACAGCACGGTGCGAGCAGCAGCCTGACAAAGATGCAATGCCCACGAAAAACCATAGGAAGCACGATAACCTGGGGCGAGAGCGACACCAACGGGTCGAAGTCGAGGTCCATGAGGCCGAGCTCCCGAAGCACCCCCGCCTTGATCGGCGGCAAGGTGAACATCACCTCCATGCCCTCAGGGAGCTTCATGTGGTAGAAGGCGCACTCCAGGTCGCAGGTGGACATGTACATGCCTTCGATCGGCGCCTCGATCGAACTGAAGGCTGAAGCCGAAGGTAGCCGAGTGCTGGGCGCGTCTAGAAACTTGCAGTTGGCGGCCCTCGTGTCGAAAATGATGCGGAGGGCCCCCGTCTTCTTGGGAACGAAGAAGAGGCCGACGGTGTGCGGCTGACCGGAGTCCGCCGCGAAGTTGACCATCTGTCTCTCGTACATCTGAATCCAAAAACGACCGTACGTGCTCACGTCGCGCGTCAGGGCGGGATCGCAAAAAGGCCCCTTCGGGCATGCCTCCCTGGCCAGAGCAGCAGCAGCACGCGGATCTCGAAGCATATGACTCCGCCAACCCTCCAGCCAGACCCTATCCACGGGCGGCACCAGCTCGACGATGTCCACTGGGGTCCCACCCGCGGCAGGCCATGCGACTCTGTCGCTGACGTAGGGGGTCGACGTCGCGGCGCCAGTACCGTACAGGTTGGCGCAAGAGAGGAGCTCCCGGAGGGCTCCGTCTTCGGCAGCGCTACCAGACATGAACTCTGGCGGCGGGCGCCCAAGCTCGTCGATGCTGTCCGTGATGTGCATGATGGCCTGGTGATGCCCCTCGTGAGCCGCAGCTGGAGGCGAGGACCGAGAAACATAGAGCGAATTAAATGCGTTGACGGCTGAGCGAACCCTCTCTTCACGATGAAGGCGATACCCAGCGCGCCTAGCCGAGCGGCGACTGCCTGGCGATGAGGGTGGGCCGGCAGCAGCAGCGGGGGACGGCAGCGGGAAGACGTCTCGGTGTCGGAGACTTCCACGCGCGCCCGGGCCTGCGGCCGAAGCCGCACTCCTGCCCCAGGGAGAGGCTGGCCCAAGTGCCCCCCCCTGGTGCTTCTCAGCCATGGCCGTCTGGGGCTGTGCGGCCGCCCCTCCCGCCGTCTCTGCCTCGTCCGCGGCCGCGGCCGCGCCCTCGACCTCGGCCATCGCTGCCGCGCCCGTCGCCAGAGCTGCCGCCGGCTGCGAGGAGTCGTTCCTCACGTGCCTTGCGCCGCTCCCTGGCTATGTTGGCCTCGCGCGCCTTCTCGGCGGCCAGCCAGTCCCTCAGAGCAGGGGCTACGCACGCGTTGCCGCCAGCGTCCAGAGCACCCGACATCAGCGCAGCGTCTGAGCCGAATTCCGAAGACGCCGCGAAACTGTCTCGGTACAGTTCCTCCTGCGTCTGGAGGGTCCGCCCGACCAGCTCCATGGCCGCAATGTTGGTCACGTGGAGCTGATCGTAGACCACGCCCAGCTCGAGGAGGCGGCAGCACAGCAAGTGGATGTCCACTCCAGGATCGTCCGCCTCCAGGTGCCCCTCCGAAACCCACTTCGTGCGCCTGCCAAGGGGCGTTCCCCCATTGCGGCATATGAAGCTCAGCACCCATAGCAGCGTGCGAGGTCCCTTGAGAGGCCAATCGCCCCATGGCAGTTCGTGAAGGCGAACCACTGCAGCTCGGAAGTCCACATATCTCACCCCCTGCGTGTCGAAGGCGACCGACTGAATCCGAGCATCGCCTCCTGGAGCGCCAGCGATGGCGGCCAGAGCTGCGGCCACGCCACCAGGACCAGGGCCACCACCTGCGGCAGGCGCGGGGGCGGCGGCAGGCCCAGAGGCCGGCGCCGCCACGGCGGCGCCGCCAAGGGCGCCAGGAGCAGCGGGGGGCGCCCCTCCTCCGCCAAGAGGCACGACAGCTGGAGCTCCTCCTGCCGCAGGTGCAGGTGCGGCCGCCACTGGCACAAGGGCGGCGGCGCCAGCTGGCGCGGCTGCTGGGCCGCCTCCGAGGGCTGCCGCTAGCCCTGCCAGTCCGCCCAGAGCCCCAGGAGCGCCGCCGGCCCCGCCCGCAGCGGGGGCCCCCGCAGGCCCAGCGCCAGCCGGAGCGCCCACCACGGCTGCGATGCCACGCCCTGCCGTGTTCAGCGCGATCGGCGGCCCAGCGCCCAGCCCAAGAGTGCCTCGAACAGAGGCGGCACCCGTCGCGACTTCTCCAGGAAGAGGGAGACCACGGAATCGGTAGACCTGATCCCCAGCTGTGGCGGCGGCCACGGCGCCGACTGCGGCGCCGGCGGGAATCGCGTACTCCCTGATGTCCGCCCCGTTCTGCATGATGGCCTCCACGTAGGCGTGCCCATCTGGAGTCAAGACCCCTGTCCCGAAGGGCGGCACCGTCTGAAACGCCAGGATCAGGCGCTCGTGCCAGATCCGGCCACCTCCCACGCGATACAGCACCAGGATGAAATCGCCCTCGTCGAATCCGTCCAGAGCCAAAGGGTGTCCACTGGCCGCCGCGGCGGCTGCAGAGCTGGCCATCACGAGGCACAGGCCCGCGCTCTGACTGCAGCCGCCTGCGCTCTAGCCTCCTCCTCCAAAGAGGGCTGAGGCGGGAGGCCAGCGATCGGCTGCCAGGAGCCCAGCCACCGCGCGGCCAGGAGCCCTCCAGCGAAGCCAGTCACGCCAGCGAGGGCCACCGCTGACAGCGCCCACCCTGGGGACCCGCCTGGGCAGTCCACGCGCGCCGCCTCCTGACCAGGGGGGCACGTGAGGGCCGGCGCGCACGTGCAGGCTGGGCACTCACCGCGGGCTGCCCACAGCAGCGCGGCCTGCCCTGCGCCGTGCACCGCCTCGCCCGCCAGCCATGCTGTGAAGGCCATCGAAGTGCCGTCGGCTTGCACTTTGAGCCCAATGCCAGCGGGGCAGGCACAGACGAATGCGGCGCTCTCTCTCCACCCGGCTCCGCTTCACGTTTCAAAACTGGACATATATCGGAGGTTGGGGGTGAGATCGAAGTGGAACGGAGAGCCCCCCTACCGGGAAATCGATTTCGGTTTCGCGTTCGTGCGTGCCGTGCGCGCGGGCGAGGCGAAGCTGCGTGGGCGGGCGAGAGGAAAGTCTCCTGTGGCTGAGGCGCGGCCGGACCACATGATTATCCACCGGGGCGCGGGGCCGCGCGGTGTCCCGCTGGTGTCCCGGTGGTGTCCTCTGTGGCTGAGGCGCGGCCGCGCCAAATTATTCTCCACCGGGGCGCGGGGCCGCGCGGTGTCCCGCCAGTGTCCCGGTGGTGTCCCCTCGGTGTCCCGTCGGTGTCCCGATGATGATGTTGATGATGATTATGATGATGATGGTGATGATGATGATGGTGATGATGATGATGTTGATGATGGCGATGATGATGATGATGATGATGTTGATGTTGTTGATGATGATGATGATGACGACGTCGATTGTGAGATCGACTGTGATCGGAGGTTGGGGGGTGAGATCGAAGTGGAACGGAGAGGCCCCCATACCGGGAAATCGATTTCGGTTTCGTGTTCGCGCGTGCCGTGCGTGCGGGCGAGGCCCTGTGCACCCACCAGTGCAGGCTAGGCTTTGCCAGCCGCTCTCTCCGAGCGCGCCCCGTTCCTTCGGGCGGCCGCGCGGGCTCGCCGCCGCGGCTAGAAGCGAATCGAAAAACTGGGGCGTCTGGGCCCCTGGAGTTGGGCCGTTTACATAAAAAGGGATACGCCGACAGGACGCCGGCGCGGGCCTCTGGGAGGGGTCCCAGTCCCGTTTTGAGGTTGGCGCCGAGGTTCGGTCGAGGTTTCCTGGCCCTCGGAGGCCCTGCTCGCCGCCGCGGCTGGAAGCGAATCGAAAAACTGGTGCGTCTGGGCCCCTAGAGTTGGTCCGTCTACATAGAAAGGGATACGCCGACAGGACGCCGCCGCCGTCGCCGTCGCAGCAGTTCTCATCAATTGCATTTGCACCATGTGCAACCCGGCAAAGGGAGGGAGAGGAGCCTCAGCAGGCCTCCGAGAAAAAAATCTCCACTGGCATCGTCAGGAGAACAATCACCACTGTTGCCGATTGCTCGGCCCCTCCACCCCCCCCCCCCCCCCAACCTCCTTATCACCCGCAGGGTGGTCGTATAGGTATATAGATCCCGCGACCGACGCGTCTGCTACGGCCGACGCGCGCGCGCGGGGTAGGTCGGTCTGGGTGGGGTTAATGTGTCATTGTATGCAGTGGCCTACGCGGTGGGCAGGGCTGCTTTTACTCAGTTTACATTGTCCGATGCGTGGGCACCAGGACATTCCCACTGGAGGTTAGTGGAACAGCGCAGCACGGTGGTGCGGAAGATGGTGGACTCGCTGAAGCGCAAGCGCAAGCAGGCGAGCCTGCAGGCGGCTGCGCCGCGGGGGGGCGACATCAGCACCTACGGCGCCCACAAGATGCGCAGGCTTCTCAAGGATATGGGTGCTCGGTGTTAGTGCATGTTACCCAGCTGCAGCTGCGCACCCCCCCCCCCCCCCTCCCCCCAGAAGGACTACAAGGCCATGGTGGGTGCGGGCGCCTTCCCTCCCCATCGTGGAGGTCGCCTGCGGTGGCGGAGTCGCCAGGGTGCTGCAGAACGTCGACGAGCGGCGGCCCCTGTTCGTCGAGCTGGAGCCCGACGCCCTCGCCCGCCTCCGCGCCCAGGCCGCGCAGGACAGATAATGTTGTTGGGCGGTGCCCAGCTGCAGCTGGGCACGTGTAGTTGTTTGTGCGTTGGTGTGGTTAGGTTGTGTATGCTCTCCAGCTGCAGCTGGGCATCCCAAGGACCTCGCGGACGCCGAGGACTGCGCCGAGGGCGGCGCCGAGGACGGCGCTCGCGGGATCGGACGCCCAGGGCGACGACGAGGTCGCCGATGACGGCGCCGAGGACGGCGACGCGGGCGCCGAGGGCGGCGCCCGGGGCGGTGCCGAGGACGGCGCCCAGGACGGCGACGATGGCGGTGCATCTGCGGCGGCGGCGCCCCCCAGAGCGGTCGGCATCCACTGGCTCCGCAAGAGGAGCGCGCGCGTCGCGAGGCGACGGTCGGGCGAGGGCGGCTGGACCTACAAGTGGTTCAAGCCTGAATGCGCGGGGCACGCCGCGATCCGCGCCGCGCACGCCCGCGCGCGCGTGGCAGGTGGAGGGTGCAAGTGGCCGCGCAGCAGCGGCTGCAGCCGCAGCCGCGGGTGCTTAGGCGTAGGATATGTGCATGCATGGGGGGATGGGGCGCAGCTGCGCTGCGCGCGTGGTAAACAACGCAGGGCGACGGACGACGACGACGCGGGGCAACAGCAGTGATGCAGCATACGGTGGGCCAGTGAGGGGCGATGTCAGTGCGTCGAGGATTGTGAATGGGACGAGGTGCGGGGCACATGATGTGGATGGGCAGTGATGTGAATCACCCTCCCCCCTTCATCCCTCCAATGTGGGTTCGTCGTCAGTCGTTCCATTCGGGTGATTGCATATCGCCCGTGGTTCGTCGCCGTCGCGCGCGTCGCCCGTCGGATGTCGGCTGCAGACGACGTCGCATGCATCGCGGGCGTCAGCTGCAGCTGTCGTGTCCAGGTCAGCGGAGGGCAGGCCCGCGTTGCGTCGGGCAGTCGCGTGGGCCCGTGATGAGCGACGGTGTCGTCGGCATTGCGGAGCTGCAGGGCATGCTGACGGCGGCGCTGCAGCACCGCGTGCCGCAGCAGCCACAGGCGTGGCGCGAGCCGCAGCGGGGGGCCGTCAACCCGCAGGAGGGCAGGCAGTGGCACGAGTCACAGTTGCTGCAGCAGCATCAGCAGTGGGAGCAGTGGCACGAGCTGCAGCGCGAGCAGTTGCGCGGGCAGCAGCAGCAGGAGCAGCTGATGCGTAAGCAGCTGATGCAGCAGCAGTGGCACGAGCAGCAGCTGCTGCAGCAGCAACAGCAGCAGCAGTGGCCGCACACGCAGCAGCAGTGGCAGGCACAGCTGGCGACCGCCGTGCAGCAGCATCAGCTGCTGCAGCAGCAGCATCAGCAGCGCCAGCAGCAAGTCGCAGATGCTGCCGCCGCCTCAGCCGAAGCCGCCGCAGCCGCAGCTGCTGAAGCAGCAGCCGTCCACATCAGCAACACGCAGCAGCAGCAGCAGCAGCCGCCGCGGAAGAAGAAGCGCGCCGGCGGGGCGCCTCGGCCGGGGTTCTGGAAGATCAACACGGTCCAGCTGGCCGAGGCGATCGCGATGCGCCGCGACCCCGATACCATCCGCGCGATGGCACGCGATCGCCTCGCGATTGAATTAGGGGACTGGGTATAGTCCTAGACCGCTGCAGCGGCGTAAGGGGGGGGGGTGCAACGTGAGCAGTTTGGAGGAGGGGGAAAGTGATGGCTACTCTGCCTCCTCCTGGCTCCTGGGGCTGCCACCCAGGATAGCTTTTAATCGATTTCTGAAGGTCGATGTTGGAATCACCGGCTCTATAGGTTCAATTTTTGTGTTATTTATTTTTTCCTGGAGGGTTGTTTGGTTTACTCTGAAGCTCTCGATGTCATGACTTTTCGCTTTCTGTCCAGAAACTCGGTTGACCAAGCCTTGGCCTGAATCAATTGTTTTCGCTTTCGTCCCTGACCTCAAGATTACTAAAGTCCAGCGCCGACAAATCAGAACACGAATCTTTCTGTCGTTTTTTTTCCACTCTCTAACTCTGCTTCGCTAGGGGGGCGATCCTACTGCGCGACTCGGAAGAGAAGGCACTAAAAAGCAAGTGCCAGAAGCAAAGAGGAGGAGCGGTAGGAGTGGAAGGAGGAAGTAAAAATGCGACCCTGGGGAAACGGTCACCGCACTGTCTCAGGCGTCTCCGATTTGATTTGGCTGTAGCAATTCCGATGTACCTACTTGGGAGAAAGAGAGAGAGAGAGAGAGAGAGAGAGAGAGAGAAACGAGAGAGAGAGAGAGAGAGAGAGAGAGAGAGAGAGAAAAATAGAGAGAGGGAGAGAGAGAGAGAGAGAGAGAGAGAGAGAGAGAGAGAAACAACAAAAAAAGATGCGTCTGCGTGGCGCTGCTGGCCAGAAACGTGTGACGCGTGTGCGCATGGCTCCTCCTCCCTTCCTCCCTCCTTCCTCCGTCATCCTCTCCCTCCCTCCCTCAACCTTGAGTTGCCACCTGGGAGCCATGCTGCCCACTCTGCCCACTTAGTGGGCTGCAAAGCCAGAGGCGCCCTTAGGCGCCCTGGCCTTCTTCTCGACGTCCATCTCGTCGCTGTCCACCGCCCTGCGGTGGCGCGGGATGTCGTGCACATCCTTGCCGTCGCCCGTGACGTCCTTCAGGTACGGCCTGGTGTAGTCGAAGATGGCGGCCTCGCCATTCACCATGATCTCGATCGGCATCGGCTCGTAATGAACTTCGTGCGTGTCGTGAGGCTCGTACTCGACTCCCGCAGCCGACTTCCGCGCCTTCTTTTTCGGCGGCTCCTGCACATCTGCGCCCATGTCCTTGTCCGAGGGCTGCGCGTCCGTGATGAGCCACGCTGGGCAGAAGCCGCTGCTTAACATTCTGAAACTGGGCCCCGTCGAGCCAGAGGTCTGGCCCGTCTCCGCTTGCAAGCTTCAGCTGCATGACCGAGTGCCTCGGCAAGTGCTGGGCCACGCTGCCGTCCACGACCTTCCCCCAGCACGGGAGCTTGCACCCGGTGGCGTTGGGGGCGTTCTTGCGAATGATATCCACTGAGGTCTTCTTCGCGCCCTTCGCTGTCGCCTCCTCCTTGATGCCGAGTACCAGGTTGTAGCCTGCAGGGCAAGGGCCCTCGGCCAACATCACCTGCGCAATCTTCTCCGACACCGCGGCATTGATCACCTTCTTCATGAGCTCCGAGTTCCATTGGGTCACAGCGGACTCTCGCTCTTGGGCCTCAGTGAACCAATCTCGCAGCAAGGGCGGCTCCACAGCCTTCTTGTCAGACTCGTCGCTCTCGCCGCCATGGGTGGCCTTCTTATCCTTCTTCTTCTCCGACCTGGGCTTCTTCTCCTTCAACGCTGGCTTGGTCTGCAACGCAACTCGGTTCAATATCATTTGCGTCGGAGCCGATTGAACCGCGTCGGAGGCTAACTCCGCCGCGTGCTCCGCGTCCATCGCTTCAATGATCTCTTTCACCATCTTGTTTTTCTCGTTCGTGAAGACGTCCACCTGTGCAGATACCTTGAGCTCCTTCTTGATGTTGTTCTTGACGAAGTGCTTCATCTGCGCTGCCGTCGCTGCCTGCAGAACACACAGGCCACGGGCCTTCTTCACTTTGTAGGCGAGCCCATCGGCCGCGACTGCTACGTCGTAGCAACAAGGGCTCCTCAATCCACGCCGCGGCCCGCGTCTCCCAGTGCACGGGCTTGCTGGCGCACCCCGCAAGCCGAGGTACTCTGTGAACTCCTTCGTGATATTGTTCAGCTTCTCGGGCGTCTTGAAATCGAAAGGCTGGGGCACGCTCGACTGAATCTCGCCCATCGCCTCCGGCAGTGATTGATGCACGAGCTGCGGTAAGAACTTGGCTTGCTTCTGCTGGTCGCCACCCTCGCGCGCAGTGCACCACTGCAAACCGAGGGCGCTGCGCATGTGCATCCGCTTCTGCACCCTCAGCAGGCCGAGGTAGACGGAGCCGTTGGACAAGTTGTTGTTGCCCAGCTTGAGCAGGCTGTTCCAGTCGGTGAGCGCGAGGTCGCCTAGCTTGGCCTGCGCCTTTGCCTCGACGACGAAGTCTACGACGATGTCCCGCCCAGCTGGAATCACCACGCGCACCTCCTCAATGGCAGCCTGGGTAATAGCGAGCGCCGCCTCCTTCAAGGACTCGAAGACCGTCTGCTTCTGCACAATCTCAGCCACCCTGCCCATCGCGTTGCTCAAAGGCCCCGCAGCGCACATGCGACCCATGGGGCGCATGCTGTTTTTCTCGACGAAGTGGTCCTTCATCGCTGCAACCTGCGAGATGTACTCCTCTGCCTTCTCGTCCGCGGTAGCCCTTGTGATCGTCTTGTCCTCGATAGCCGCCGTCGCCAAGGCAGCCTGCTCTTCCTCAGTCCCAGGTTGTTCGCCATCAGGGAAATCTGGATCAGACGCCCTCGGCGCCAAGTTCGCGTGCTTGTACAGCGCGGCTTTGGCCATCTTGAAGAGCCGAGAACCCGTTCAGCTTGGACTTGCCCCCCCCCCCCCTCATAACCTCCACAGAGTCCATCAGGCAGCCACGGATCGCAAGGCCTTTGAAGGACGCGATGTCGTCGTGCCTCGTCGAGTCGATCTTCAGCATGTACCCGATGGCATCGTGCAGGTGGTGCAGAAACTCCACGTCGTTCTCTTCGTCGATGACGAGGTCTGCTCTCGGGGCTTTCATATTGATCATCTCGGCTTTCTTCTGGCTCTTCTTTTTCTCCCTCAGATCCTTCTTGGTACCCGTTTCTGATTGCACCGCTGACTGCGCCTCCTGAGCAGCCTGGAGGAGCATATCGCTGCGCTTCGCCTTGTCCGCCTTGAGCTGCTTCCAGACAGCCGACTCCTTTGGGGGGGCCGACGATATACATCACCACCGCCTCCCTCCCCACCTCCCTTTCACTGGGAAGAGGAGAGAGGAGGAATCGACGTGGTGGTGGTGTATCTTCTTTGGGCCCCCATCCTTCATTGACTCCATCCGACTGTCGATCACATCCTCCTTGAACACGCCGATGGGTGCCAGTCCTTCAGAATGCAAGAAACCCTTGCCGATGTTGCCTGCTGTAGGGGTCACGGGGAGGCACTGCATGATGACGTCCACGATGAACTGAGGGTGGTTGTAGCGCAACTTCCGAAGTGCAGACGCAAGGGCGATGAAGGTCCGCTCATGCATCGACGCCATTAGGTGCGTGAACGCAATCTCGGTAAGGGCGCGCCTCTTGAACTCCGCCCACACAGTGGTAGCACCGTCGATGAACACCGTCTTGCTCTCCCTGTAGAACGTGTTGCACAGCTCGTAGTTGCGATACGTCCTCCAATCCTTCGACATGGTCTTGGTGAACTCGAACTTGTACTCCTCGGGCTTCGCCTGTCCACCCAAAGCTGGAGCAGACCAACCGTTCGCGCTCTTCTTATTCGTCCATGCCTTCTCAATGCCAACCGTGTTCTCCAATATCTCCACAAACGTCGTCGGCGTCTGCTGATCGTTGGCGACGTTGCCAACGTCGATGAGAAACCTGATGGCGTCCTTCGGCATGCGCAGATTGAACTCCTTGCACGCCTTCACACCGTTCGTGACGGAAAGCTGTGCTGTGCGATTAATCTTCTGGACGTCCTTGGCGAATGCTCGCCTTGCCCCCTCAAGCGAGGTGCCCCAGTGGAGCAGCAAGTACTGCGTTCCTGGACGAACTTCGCGCTTCATGTGCTCTGGGCACTTCATGTACCATGGCCCCTTGCGAATGTCTATGATGCCGATCTTAGTGACGCTCTCCTCCCGTTGCGAGACGCTGTCCTCGTCGCCGCGCCCCTCTGCGTTAAGGGGGTGGCGGTCGGCAGTCCACAAGCCCGTCTCGTCCACGAGCGAGAGGTGGCAGTCAGCGCTCTCGCAGTAGAGCTGCTCGCAGATGCCGAGGAGCTCCAGGGGCGACCTCGTCCCTCCGCAGCGATCCGCAAAGTCTGCGTACTTGCCGCCGCCGTCATATCTGTCGCCCTCGATCTCGGCGACGGCGCGCTCGGCCACGCGCGCGGCCGCAACAGCGGCGGCAGGGGCACGCTGGCTCCAGTCAGCGGAAGAGGAGGCGCCCAGGCTCGACATTGCGAAAGCAACTCAAGGTGATCTCTCTCTCTCTCTCTCTCTCTCTCTCTCTCTTGGTCTAGTGGTGGGTGGTGAACGCGTGCAATGAGCACAAACTGAACCTTGAGCACAAATAGCAATAGCTACGGGCGTAAGGCGTTCGACGTCGGGCAACCCGTGGGGAGGGGGGGCAGCGCCGCCGATTTCAAACCGGCGTTTCCTGAAGCCTCGGGCCGGCCTCGGGCTTCGCGGATTGCCACGGGATAGCCATTCGGGCTCTAGGATTGCCATGGGGTAGCCATCGGAGCCTCAGGACCCCCCCCTTCCACTGGATTGCCACGGGGTGGCCATCTGGGGCCTGGGATTGCCGCGGGATAGCCATCTGGCCTCCTGGATTGCCACGGGGTAGCCATCTGAAGCCTGGGATTGCCACGGGATAGCCATCTGCCCCTCTCCCCCCCCCCCCCTGGATTGCCACGGGGTAGCCATCTGGGTCTCGGGATTGCCACGGGGTAGCCATCTGCCCCCCTGGATTGCCACGGGGTAGCCATCTGGAGCTTGGGATTGCCACGGGATAGCCATATGCCCCCCCCCCACCCCCTTGGATTGCCACGGATTAGCCATCTGGGCCTCAGGATTGCCACGGGATAGCCATATGGGGTCTCTGGATTGCCATGGGGTAGCCATCTGGGCCTAGGATTGCCACGGGGTGGCCATCTGGGGCCTCAGGCTTGCCACGGGGTAGCCATCTGGGTCTCAGGACTGCCACGGGGTAGCCATCTGGGGCTCAGGCTTGCCACGGGATGGCCATCTGGGGCCTCAGGATTGCCACGGGGTGGCCATATGGGGCCTCAGGATTGCCACGGGATAGCCAACTGGGCCTCAGGATGGCCACGGGATAGCCACATGGGCCTCAGGACGGCCACGGGATAGCCATTTGGGCCCCTGGACGGCCGCGGGGTGGCCATCGGGAGATCAGGCTTGCCGCGGGGTAGCCATCTGGACCAGACGCTTGCTATGATATAGCCAACTGAACTCATCGTGAGTGCTATCTGCGCGACGTTCACCGCGCCAGAAAAGTTGATGCGAACGACGATGATGAGACGATGGCGATGATGATGATGATGCAACTTCAGTGTCAAGCGCTTGGTCAAGCGCTCGTTAGTCGGTCGAAAACCGCTAGGCAATCTCGATCCCGAGAATCAAATCAACAACTGGTCAACCACCAGCTTTGATGCACACGCCACATGCGAACCCGTCGTCCGTGAAATTGAATACGTTGCCGATTGCCAGTGCACAATCAGTATGTCAATATTTCAAGCACCGCTTGCAGCTGACATCATCGGCACTCTTGTCCGTACATGGAGAGGCGACCCCACGTTCATCAGCAAGCTTGCACGCAACGCAGCGCATGCCGTCGCTTCCTGTGCGACTGAAAGGCCCAGAATATAATTGAGCAAGCTCCCACTGCTGCACGACCAGACACCTCTCGGGCATGTCCGCTCTCCCTGCGCCTGTGGCCTTAGCCATTGGGACGGGCACATCAACAATCATTGCCCTCACCTCAGAGCAGTTGCGCAACTTTACAACAGGCGTGGCATGGGCAACGACGAACAACTCGATTGTTGTTGTCTAGCCTGACTCGTCTCCCCTCCATCTCGTTCGCACCAGCCCCCCAATGAATAAAACTGACCTCAGTCTCATCACGCTCTTCAGCAAAAGCCATCAATGATATCGTCTTGTCGACGATCGCATTCCCATCCGAATGCAACCTGGCGTTCTCACGAGCGACTCCGACCTGATCGCGGCCGCGCCCGCAAGCAGCCACTATCGCACCCATCAGCCCATGTGGAAGCGGAGGAGCATCAGCGGGCGGTGGAAGTGGAGGCCCATCGTGGACATCAGGCTCGGGCACAGGCTCTGGGATAGCACCATCATCGCCGACGTCATCATCAGCGATGTCAGCGCCGCCAAAAACACCAGCGCCAGCATCCTCGTCGGCTTCGGCCGCGGCCTCGGCCTCCCCAGTGATGCGAGCGAGGTCTGCGCCCAACTCAAGATCACTGCCACCGTCGCCATCGCCGGGGCCAGCAGGATCGGCAGGATCGGCGGCGTCGACGCCAGCAGGCGCAGGCGCCGCGCAGGCCGGCCTCGGTGGGCGAACGACCTCCAGTGTAAAGGTGGCGAACGACCTCCAGGTAGCTGCATGTTGGCGCAGCTGCACCTGCGAAGGCGATGTTTCTCTGGCTGGTTTAAACCGGTGTCGGACCACGGGGGCGCCAAAAGATTTCGGACCACGGAAGGGCCCAAGAGGGTCTTAAGGTGCGAAGGTGCTTTTGTTGTTGCTTAGCTTGTTGTTTGACTGTTCTGCCACAGGCTTCAACAACAAAACTCATCATCCCTCTCCTCATCATCCTCCTGAAGTCCTCACCATCCCTCCCACCTCCTCCCTCGTCCTGCTCTTCCTCCTCCTCTCTCTTCTCCTCCTCCCCCTCCCCTCGCCGTCCTCCTACTCCTCACCTCCTCATCCTTCTCATCCTCCTTATAGCCTTGGTAGCCCTCGTGGGCGGGTCCTCGCCGAGGACAGGAGCCGATGGCCTTCAGGAGATCGTGAAACCAGCGCGCGCTGAACGGTCTGTGCATCCTGCTCAGGGACACGCCGCCGTCTATCACCACGGGCGGGTTCATCTCGAACGCGATGCTGTACCGCTTGAAGGTCCAAGGAAATAGTAAGAACCATTGGCCATCTATGGAGTAGATCTTCTTGGGGCCGATCTCAACCTCGTGGTGCGCAGTTGCGTTCAACGGCAAGGCCTTGCAAAACTTACCCAGCAATGAGAATTGGTGAGCGCATGCGCGTTCTCCGCCAGCGGGCAGGTCCACGCCGCAATAATAAACAGTCCTGGTAAACCTGTAAGACCACTCCATTGATTGCATGACCTGGGCGACCTGACCGTGGACCTCACAGCAATCTTCCGCAGACACCTTAATACCATAGTTGACCTTCATGCGGTTGTTGGCTGCTGGTATCTGGAGGCCAGGGGCCCTTTTCGCCATAACTTGCAAGCATGGCGAGCGCCCTTCAATGTCTTGTGTGTTCACGGGGAGTTCTCGGCGCCATGCCAGAAGATGCGCGGACATCCGGGGTGTACATCGTCCGCTATCTCTCATATTCAATATCTCTGTGGAAGTTCGCCTTCAACTTCGCAGCGAAGTCCGATGTGTTCGACTGTAAGCAGCACGGTGGCACATCGATCAACATTGTTCCAAGTGTTTTACGTTTGTCGTCGGCTTCATCATGAGGGCGCGATGCAACGTGCAATAGGCATCACGGGAACCGATCAAACGTTGATACAAATCTCACCCACCAAGTCGACGCACACGTCAGCATACCCGTCAGTACCAACAGGAGGCGTTGGCCACGGAGTACTGCGTTCCCCTCAGGCACAAGTGAGAACGCGCTGCCCCATAGTTTCGGATTGTCCATGGATGCTGGGTCTAGCATATCACTGATCGTCTGGTATGTCTCACCGCATTCAACCGCGACGAAGTTCGACAGAGGGGTTGGTCCAACATAAGTGCTCTCGGCGGCGCATGTCTGGTTGAACAGCTTGATCTGTTTCTGGGCCCAGTACAGGAAACGCGTGATCGGAGCCTTCGACACCTTTGATACGATGAGCATGATATGGAAGACCGTTGAGCTCAACAAAGATAGCGCGTTGGATTTGCACAGCGATTGTTGTTCCTGAAATTGTTGGGTCTCCTCGTCACCAACGCCTGCCTTGTGTTTTTTCTTTGATGGTTTGGCTGAGATGTGGTTGAAAAGCTCTGGCAGGACAGACATCTCACCGATGGGCAGCTCTTCCTCCTGATCGATGGACCCCCACCGACCCCTGAGCACTCGACCAGGCATTTTGTTGCAGCGGGCGGTTTCTTCTGCACTTTCGCCGTGCAGATCCACGATGACATCTTGTAACTTTCACATGATTTCAGTGTTCCTCCACATATTTGAAACCGTTGCAACGGCACTGAAGTATTTCGTGCACAGCGGTTGAGCATCAATCCAGACCCACGAATCCAACACTGCCAGGATCGCTTTCACGCACAAGTGCGAGGCGTGCAAATTTCACCATACCACAGCGAACGTTAACCGATCTGACTTTGAAGTGATCCCTGCAACGATTTTCAACGCACCTTGGTTGTCAGGACCCTGATCGAAGCCGAAGTTGAACATGGTGAGTTGTGATTCGTCGCCAGCGTCCAGGTGCTGCTCTAGATCTGCGGCACCACGCGACCGAAACCCAGATTCAATAAATTCGTCAAGCTCCTGCGGGCACAGAAAAAACTCCTTCGCCACTGCACCCTCCTGCTCTCCATCCCTGCTCCCTTCTACTCTCCGAGTCTCTCCTATATCCTACCCCTCCTCTCACGTCCCCCTGCTCCGTCTCCCCGCCCCCTACTCTCCCTTTCCCCCTGTCGCTACTCCTGCGATCCTTCTCAATCGTCCCTCCTATCTCTCCTTTCCTCCCGTTCTCTCCTCCAACTCTCAGCATTTACATGCATGCCGCTGTCCTGGGCGTCACCGCGCCGCGAGGACTGGAGGTCGCAATCGGTCGCCGACGCCGCCGGCCTGAGCGCCTGAGAAAGGTTGGCGCCCGACGAGACCTGGACCTCAGCAGATGCGACTTGAGCGACCCCAGAGCACAAGACTGGAGAGATGATATGGGCACTTTTTTTCGAGGGCCTCTGAATGCGTCGCATCCCCTTTGAACAAGAAAGCCTGCATCGTGTGAACGGCTTGAGTCGGCGAGTCTGAAACCCCACACACATAAGAATACATATCGTCGCAATCGTTCTTGGAGACAACGTATTGGGCAGCATTGACCCTATGCTCGAACCGAGTCGCAATCTGTTTGTCAAGACATGCACCATGAGTGTCATCACCAGCGACGAGAGCTACAGCGGTGCTCGACGCAACG